TAGAGTGAGCTGAGGCCGGGCTAGCGTGAGCGAAAGCCTCGGCTTAGTGTGAGCTGAGGCCGGGCAAGAGTGAGCTGAGGCGGCGGGGTCGAGAACGGCGGTCCCGGCGAAGGAGCGGTGAAAGCCGATCCGGCGATCCACAGCACTAAGTTGATGTATTTCCTCAGCGACCAGCACAGATCAGCTCTAGGCATGGCGAAGCGGATATCGTCCTCTTTTGGAAGACCAAACAAAGTAGTTTCGCTTTCACAATGAAGCACACAGCGTCTTCAGGACATGGCTGCAGCGTCAACAATACTACAGCGAGAATAAAAGTTATGCTTTCTTTCTTTGCGTGAACATTTGGGCGGCTTTATGCAAATCTTCCCACATAGTGAGGTAGGTATGTGGGGGCGTGTTCGAACGAGCCGTTTTAGGTAGGTGTGGCTAACTCTTAACTTTTATAAAGAATATCTCTTTGGATTTGAGACTTTAGTCTTTGCAACTTTACAGATCTTCTTTATGCACCAAGAGCTTGTAACACTCTAAAGAGAAAGGAAAAAATGAAATCGCATCATATGACCCCTTTAAAAAATCTGTTTTTTCAGGTTAAAATACGGGTCCTGAATGTATATTATTGCTTCCTATGGTGAAAAACTTGTCTTGTCCGAATCAGGAGAGAAATATGCACAGATCAAGCACTGTTTACACGTGAAAACAGTTCTAAACAATGCGTTAGTTGATTTTGATGCAAGAAGAGTTATTATGGACTGATATTTTGGCCAGAAGCATCAGTTTAAAAATAAAGTGCTTTGATAGATTTGTTTCTTAAAAACACGCAGCTTTTCACTTCACAAGACATTAATTGATGGACTGGAGTTGTGTGGATTATTATGACGTTTTTATCAGATATTTGAATTCTCATTCTGATGGCACCCATTCACTGCAGAGGATTCATTGGTGAGCAAGTGATGTAATGCTAAATTTCTCCAAATCGGTTCAGATGAAGAAACAAACTCATGTAGGCCTACATGTTGGAGTAAATTTTCAGCATTTTTTATTTTTGGGTGAGCTATTCTTTAACTATATGAATGAACAAAAGATGTGAATGTTTAAATGAAATGCATAACCTGGATTTTTGCACAGGTGACTGTGTTAAGTTGACGTTGCAGGATCATGGGTTGAGAGGTCTATACAGAGGACTTAGTTCACTGCTTTATGGATCCATCCCGAAATCTGCAGTACGGTAAGAAACGTTGGTCTTTAAGTGTTTAAGCTTAAATAGTGTCTCTATTGCTGACACACTTCATTTTGACATTATGGCAGGTTTGGGACATTTGAGGTTCTTAGTAACCCGATGAGGGATGCCACGGGGCGGCTTGACAATAAAGGAAGTTTGCTGTGTGGGCTTGGAGCGGGAATTGCAGAGGCGGTGTTGGTGGTCTGTCCAATGGAGACAGTCAAGGTAGGACTGTTACTGGTTGTCTTAGTTGTACATCAAAAGAATACATCACCTTAAAGGGATAGTTCACCACAAGTTGGTCCACACTGACTTGCATAATGTTTTTTTTTTCCATACTATGGAAGTCATTGGGGACCAGCAACTGAAGGTGAACTATCCCTTTAACTAGTCCTCTGTAATGTACATTCTCACTCAAAATATGTCCTGTTTGTATTATTTTAAGGTGAAATTCATTCATGACCAGTGCTCTCTGAGGCCACGCTATCGAGGGTTCTTCCATGGTGTACGGGAAATAATTAGAGATCAAGGTACTAAAATGAAATCACTACAATTTACTTATTCATAGAAACAGTAGGAGACGGACCACTCATAGAAAATTTAATGGAAGTAATAGCATCTATCAACATGTGGGCCACAAAATGAAAAAACAATAAACAAAAAAAGAGTTTGTGAAAAATTAAATATAAAATAACATCATAAAATGTTTTCTTGAAAAAAAAAAAAAACCATTAAATTTTTATTTAATTTTTCAAAATAAAATATAGAATAAATTAGTTAAAATATTAAATTAAATGTTAAAAATGTTATAATCGTGCCTAATAGTATATTTATTCTATGTTTGTAGGTGTCAGAGGGACGTATCAAGGACTGACTGCTACACTTCTGAAGCAGGGCAGCAACCAGGCTATACGCTTTTATGTTATGAACTTGTTGCGCAACTGGTACAAAGGTGAGGATGTGATAACTGTCCTTCATTTGACAGTAATACTTTATAATTATATTGATTATATACAATATATTTAATATAAACAAATAATTAATTGATTTTAATATTGCCGTTCAACAAAATTATCATCTTGGCTTTTTCTTCAGGCGATGACCCCAGACGTGACATGCATCCGCTGGTTACAGCGTTGTTTGGAGCAACAGCCGGGGCAGCGAGTGTTTTTGGGAACACGCCACTTGATGTGGTGAAGACTCGAATGCAGGTCAGTAGAGATTGATGCTTATTATTTATTAAATAATTAAAATTTATATATTTATTAATTTTTAAAGAAAATGTAATTAAATACCA